GAAATCTATGTAAATAGGGAAGGGTGGGGGGGAAGGGCGCACAGGTAATGGGGAAAAAAATAAGAACCAAGATATATAATGTACAGGTACAAACACCCAATGATAAATGTAAATGAACTGTGTACCTAAAATATACCAATAAAAGAACAACAATAACAAAAAAGAATCTCCATACTGATTTCCATATTGGTTGCACCAATTTACACTCCCACCAATGTGGAGAAGGGTTTCTTTTTCCCCACAGCCTCATCACCATTTGTTATTGGTTGATTTCCTGATGATAGCCATTCTTTCTGGAATGAGATGGAATCTCGGTGTTGTTTTAATTTGGATTTCTTGAATGATCAGTGATGTTGAATATTTTTTCATATATTTATTTGCTGTTTGTACTTCTTCATCTGAGAAGTGCATATTCACTTCAGATGCCCATCTTTGGGTCTCTAAATTTGGGCCATCTGATTTTTTTTTTGAGTTCTTATATATTCTAGGTATTAGTCCCTTGTTTGAAGAATAGCCAGTAAAATTTTTTCCCATTCTGTCTCTTCACTCTGTTGGTGGTTTCTTTTGTTGCACAAAAGCTTTCAATATGATGAGATCCCAGCTGTTGATTCTTTGAAATGTCTCCTGTGCAATCAGGATTGTGTTCATAAAGTCTTTGCCTACACTTACATCTTCTAGAGTTTTACCTATTTTATACTCCAGCAGATTAAATGTGTCTGCTTTAATATTTAGGAAGGAGGCATCACAATACCAGAGTTGAAGTTATACTCAAAGCTACTGTGATAAAAATAAACAAAAAACAAAAAAAACCCCAGCATGGTACTGGCAAAAAACAGACTTATGGATCAATGGAACAGAACAGAAGATACAGAAAAAACTCCTCTGCCACCTTATCTTTGACAAAAGGGCCAAACACTTTCACTAGAAGAAAGATACCTTCTTTAATAAATAGTTCTGGGAAAATTGGCTTTCCACAAGTGGAGATTGACCTTAGAACCATACCTCTCACCATGCACTAAACTAAAATCATAATGGTTCAAAGATGTAGCATATCATTTTGTCATGATATAAAGACTTACTGCTGCTCTTCCTTACTGATTTCACTCTTTTTCACGATCTGCTTCACATTGTTTCCAATGACCTACAAAAAATGAAAACTTCTTTGATCATTTATAGTAGCAATAAGTTTGATTGTAGATAGATTATCATTTCTGGATTATCTTATCTGGAGCCTTTCTAGATAGATTATCATTTCTAATTTGCACATATACTAGAAGCAAACTATAATATATTTTGGAGGAGGTACCTACAAAGTTGCTATGACAGCCAGTTCATTAGATTCTTTGTCATCAATAAACTCAATACATCAAATGGTAATGCATGGATGAGTCACAAAAATATTTATGGTTGGCATATTCCACCATTAAAACTCAAGAGTTATTTTTACTACTACATGAGCTTGCAAATGCCTAGTTTTAAGTGAATATCTGCATACCCAGATATTCCAACCATTACAGAAATTTATTATTTAGAAAAATAATGCATGCATTCTTAATTGGGTTATGACACAGTATAAGCAAGCACTACAGGAAATGTTTCTAAAGATAAACTCTGAATCACATAGAAAATAAAACTTACTTGTATTTTCTTCTGTAGAATACTATTTTTTGTTTCCAGTTTTATAACTTCATTCTGAAGGGGGTATGGTTTTAAAAGCAAGATGATTGTTAAGAATATTTGTTAACTACTGTTCACTATTTATGGAATGAAAGTATAATGTGAATATTATGTCTTTAAGAGTATTCAATATGACATCATTTAAAAGATGAATAAACAAAGAATGAAATGAAGGATAAATAACGAGAAAGATAAATTTGTCTCTGGGTCAAAAATTGAAGAGGTAAAGAGGTAAAGTTTGTCGCTTCAAAAGATTTTTTAAAAATTAAAGAAATTCTAGAGTGGAATAGAATCTCACTTTTTAATGGCTGGAAACAATACTGTATGAATGAATGATTGCAGGCATGCTTCATTTTATTACAGTTGGCTTTATCACATTTCATAGATAACATTTTTTTTTTTTTACAAATTGGTTTATGATAATCCTGGGTCAAGCAAATTTATTAACACTATTTTTTTCAACAGCTCAAATGATCATTAGCATTTTTAGCAATAGATCATTTTTAACTAAGGTACAGTTTTGAGACAATGCTGTCACACATTTAATATACTAAAACACAGTATAGACATAACTTTTATGTACACTGGAAAATGAAAAAAACTCCTGGGACTCACTTTAATGCAATATTACCTTTACTGTGGTGGTCTGAAACCAAATCCACAATATCTCCAGTGTATTCCTGTATCACTAAGTAACATATATACCAACAATAATTGCTTACCAAAGGTAAGGTAAAATTTTTGAAATTTTTCTTTTATAATAATAACAGACCTTACAAATATGTGCAAATAAATATAGCAATTATTTAAGGCCAAGACATAGAAATAACATACTAAAGATAAATGATCATGTTTAACATGTGCAGGTATTTGGTTCTGCAAGATCAAAAGAGATATAAGAATGGATTGTGATAATCATTGCTCAACTGAGTGAATATATTTAATCCCTTCACTACACAATTAAAATAGTTAAAATAATAAGTTTTATGTTAAGTATTATTTGCCAAAACTTAAAAATTTAAATACCAGAAAAAAGTAATAAAATGATCCCTGATAGTAATGTTAATATTGTAAGGCTATCACTTTCTTTCAAATGAATTAATAAATTCATTGTAAGCACAATCAAAATACTAAGAGTATTATTATTGTAACTTGGAAAATGTAGCTAATAATGTGAATGAGAAATTCCGAGAGTATTGTAAGTAGTGATAGGAAAGTAGTATAAAGATTTATTTTTCCAGATATCTAACATGTTGAAAACGATTGGCAGTTATAAGTGAGGCAAGATATTGTTTAATTTTTTAAAAACCTAGGCTATTTCGATCATCATCTCTTTATATATGCTATATAATTCTCACTATTCTGTTTTTATTTTTAAAAGTAGTGCTAGGAAAATATATGTTACTATATGACCATGGGAAAATAAAGAAGACAGTCACTATCACACATGATATAACTAGAAGCTACACTTAATCAGAGTCTGCACAGATTTGCAGGATTCAACTATTGCCAGAGATCTACAGGTTTTCTTGTCATCTGAACTTTTGTTTTTAACTAGATATTTACTATTCTAATATTTCTACTACAAACATTTTGAATGAAAAATATGCACCAATACAATCTAGTTGCTTCATGTATTTGTCAAGGTTTGCAAGCAAGAGAACAATGTAAATGTTTAAATAGATAAATGGCATACCTCTATGCTTTTAATTTTACTCTCAACGATATCTGAAATGTTGGTATGCACCAAAGTAGTCTTAATTTGTTTTTCAAGAGCTTGAATTTCATCCAATTTATTGAGTATTTCACATCTCTTTTTTTCAACCTTCTCAGTAAGAGTAAGATGTTCTTCATCAATTATAGTTTTCTGAGATGATTCTACAAGTATTTTTAAACATAAAATATTACTGTATTTAATACCTCAGCTCTTCTGAACATCATTGTGTAATATAGACAATATTATGTGGGTTAGATATAATTATAAGCTACAATATAACTCGAACCCCAAGCACACCGATTAAAATAATCTGATTCAAAAATGGTGTATTCCTTCTTATTAAAATTACTTATTAAAAAGCTTCTGGGGCCAGGGATTTAGCTCAGTTGTTCGGCTGCATGCCTCGCAAGTGCAAGGACCCAAATTCCATCCCCGGTACCAAAAAAAATAAGCTTCTGCACAGCAAGAGAAACTACCAACCGTGTGAAGAGACAACCCACAATGTGAGAAAAAAATTTTCACTAGCTGTTCCTCAGACGAAGGTCTATCTCGAATCTATAAAGAACTTAAAAAAATCAGACCTCCCAAATTTAAAGACCCAATCCAAAAATGGGCATCTGAAATGAACAGACATTTCT